AATACATTCCAAATATTTTTATCTGTTAGTCACCGGATATTAATTCTGGTTTTATCTATTAGTCAGTCACAGGGTGTCAGATACAAAACAGAGGTAGGCAAGGCATGGCTGTTTAGAGGGCCAAAGAGTTCCCAAGGTAAATTTGAATCAGGCTCTGGACCTGAAACGTTCCACCCTCTGCACATCACTGAAGTGCTGGTCAGTCAACCAGTCTTTGTGGACTCACTTTCTTTCCAGAATTTCTTGTTTACAGGGGTAAAAGGAAATCTGAATATAGTAAAGAATAACAAGTCCTTTGGAAGATAGCAACCTACTGTTCCCATGCTATGGTGTTTTCTTGTTTTGTTTTCTTTTTTGGTTTTGAGATAGCTTCTCATGTAGCCCCGGATGGCCTGGAACTCTCTATGTAGCCAAGGCTGACTTTTAATTCTCCAGTTCTACCTCCCACTTCCTGTCGTGGAATATTACTTTAACTATGTGAAGGTGTGTTATATTTGTTTGTGCTGTATTTGTTTAACTATGTAAAGATGTGTTGCTGTTTCACCTTGCCTGCCTAAGACACCTGATTGGTTTAATAAAAAGCTGAATGGGCAATAACTAGGCAATAAAGGATAGATGGGGCTGGCAAGAAGAGAGAAAAGAAGAGAGGAGAGAATGAGAGAGAAAGAGAGGGAAACACCTGGGGCCAGCCAGCCGCCAGCTGCTAGGCAGCCAGCCAGAGTAAACAGTAGGACTTAAAGAATGAAAGAAAGGTAAAAAGCCCTGAGGCAAAATGTAGATGAATAGCAACAGGTTATAAGAGCTAGTGGGACAAGCATAAGATAAGGCCAAACATTCATAACTATTATTAAGTCTCCATGTTATGATTTGGGAGCTGGTTGGTGGCTCAAAAGTACAACCTCCAAGTACTAAGATTATAGGCTTTTGTGTCACCACTCTTGGTTTATGCAATACTGAGATGGAACCTAGGACCTCATGCTAGGATCATCCTAGGCAAGCACTCTACCAACTGAGCTATTGCATCCCTCCACATCCTGCAGTCATTTCAGCAGGAAAATGATGAGTTATTGATAGGTTTCATCCATACAAACCATGGTCTTCTATTTTATCTCTTCATTTTTTTTTACTGCTTAATCTGAATATCTGCCTTTTAATAATGTATATGACAAAAATTTCTGTTTCTTAAATTTCTCTGAAATTTAAAGAAAAAGCAGACAACATTCTTGCAACTTAAACAGGTGTTAAGGACAAAGTGATTGAATTATAATCCTTGGTCATAGAAGTAAATTTTGGTTCTTTTTTTTTTCCTTTCACACACATGATATTTCCCTGACATCTGTGCAATACAAATATATCTAGAAAGTGTGAAATGAAAAATCTGTTCCACTAAATACATAAAAGAGACCCCAAATGAAGTCTCCATGATAGTGTTCATCATCATGGGCACAGATGGTGTCCTCCTCTAGCTCACCCCTCCCTCCCCTCAATGCAGACTTAAGTTTCATCCACTGTATTCATCCAAAAATATCACATGCAAATAGATAACACCAGCAGAGCCCATCTGCACACTATATTTTTATTTTTCTGTCCTTTGTGTGCATCCAACTTTAGATTGATAAATCAAGAAAAGTATGGTTTCTGGTCACACAATGCTCAGATTGAATATGTATTTTTGCTGCAGAAATTCAGTGACCTAGAAGTCGAGTGGTCATTAAAGTATTTCATCAATAATCATAGCATATCAAATTATATCATTATTATCAAAAATCTTGCACCATCCCTTGCCATTTTTCTCCTCCAGTGCCCATGCCACAGAACACTATAATCTCTTACTAATAACCCCATGTAGGTGCTTTATGAAACAGGATCTATAAAATCATCAATCTGCTGTTCTCTTCCCTAAAATATCTAAAAGAGGCTTTAAGAGACAATTGCCTGGAGTTCACACTTCAGGTGGAGTTGAGAATCTGTGAAAACAAAAATACTACCACATCCTTGAAGACTCCAACTGTCTCTGCAACTCACAGTAGCCTGATCTGGAAAAGTGCTGCTGACAAGTGAACCTCGGGATGCAGAACTGGGCGAGGCAAGTAGAAAGCTGTGGACTCTGACAGCCCCCCCTTGGTGTAGCCCACGGGGTGGGTGGTAGGGACGTGGTTTCAAGATGGGGGAGGTGTTTGTTTCAGGAGACTGGGTTGAAGAGAAACATGAGGGTCAGAATGGAAAGTAGAGAAGCTGAAAAGGGAAAGTGCTGGTGAACCTCAGGGAACACTTTTGAGCACAGATCAGAAATTGCTGGTAATGGAAGCAGAGCCTTGACTATCAAATCCTGAAATTCTAAACATTCTGAAATTGTACATCTTTTCAACACTGCACTCTACAAACAAGAAATGTCAAGGATCTCCTTTCTTTAACACAATGCATTTAGTTTTAAAATTAGGAAAGAATTACTGTGAGTATCCACAGAGAATAGGATTAACAGAAAGCTCAATAAGATTAATAGGAAACTTGTCTTGCACACAAGTGGCCTTAAGTTACTCTGCACACATATAAGACACATACATTTAAAATGATAATTGGATTATCGACTGTTTTTCACCCTCCAGTTTGCTCAATGGAATAAAACAAACATAAACAAACAGAACCATGGTCTCAAAGTGACCTGTAGCATTGTCTTGTTAAACTTCCTGCTTTTAAAGAAGAAAGTAGATCACAGAGAGGACAAGTGAATTGAAAGAAGCTACCCAGAGGTGTAGTGCAGGGAGGGCACAGGAGACTGGGCCTCCGAGTTTCCTAAGGTGGCTTGTCCTGGTAATGAGAAGTGGGAAGTCTCAATGTCTGTAAGTCATACCTGTCTATCCAAGAATCTGTCTACAGGAAGGCTCCGTCTAAGTAAGCTGGCCCAGGAAATAGGTTTGTCTCTAACTGCCAGGTCATTTCAGAAATACAGTGTATGGTGGTTCAATGTGATCTGCACAAATATGGGTCAGTCCACTTTCTAGACACATCTGTCATCCTTGCAAAACTTGAGGAAGAAGCCGCAGCAGTGCCTTGTTCTGTTTATGTACAAGTTAGAGGACAGAGAACTTGGGCCAAACAGTTTTCCTTCAAAGCCAAGACAGAATAAAAGCAGTGACCAGATATATTTTTATCAAAGCAGACAAATACAGATCATTCAAGTAAAAAACAGTTAAATAACCCAACCCTACAGCATTTTAGTGTCCTCTTTACATAGTGTTGTTTGTTTTCTTGAGATGAGTAAAGCCTCCCTCAGAGGTATCTGCTGAAAGGCCTGGATTTGAGTCCTCACTTACCATTTCCATTAAGCATCTTACATAACCTCTCTGATTCTTCCAACTGACTCATGAAGCAGAAAATACCCACCTACCTCCTGCCTATACAATTACAGAACATTTCCATGACCTGAAATCGATTCAGTAAACATTCCTCACTACAGATCATGCACCAGGCAAAGTGCAAGGTACTGCAGAGATGAGAGGTGAGTTTGATAGTGCCCTTGTTCTGAAGAAGCTCAGATGGACATTTAAACCAGGAGGCTGTGGCACAGTCACAACTCGGATACCTGCAGTATGATCAGTACTAACTTAGCTGTGTAGATGAAATGGCTATGGGCAAACAGTAAACTATGCCTGGAGGGTACTATTATTCCAGGATGTTATTTTGATTGTATCTTTAAAAGGAAATTAGTGCTCAAATGTGGTATTCTGTGTAGCTAGGCTAGAGTCAATGATTCAATGCCTTACCATGTCTAACTTTTCATAATTACTGAAGGAAATGAAAACACTTTATTTGCCTGTTTAGAATCGCCATTGCCTCACTCGTTATCAAAACAGCAGCAAATGTTTGCATTTATTATGAACAATACCAAATCCTATCAGAGAAAGTAAACTTGATGCCATTGCTAATTACTGCACAAGACAAAACACACGTCTACACTCTTTCACTAGAAACGAGCCAGTAGAAATCAGTAGTTGGAAAAGTTAATTCTCAGTTATCGAGCATGAGGTAGTAATGAACAATCAAATCTTAAAGTAAGAGGACCTGTTACACAACACTCTCCACATTCTTCAGTGCTCCCCAGCTCCCCTCCCCCGTGAAGTCTCTCTAGTGGGCTGAAATCGATCTGTTGTAAGTCATTAGTTGATTTAATTTATGGAAAAAGTGCAGACGCCGGAGTTACATTTTTTAAGATGTAAAAATAAGGTCTGTAATAAACCTATAGTTTGTTCCCATTGTTTGGGCTATGACTGTCTTTCCTAGACTGGGTAACTTTTCTTGTCCCCTTGATCAGTTATCAAGGAGTGCTGGAACTAGAGGGAACTATTGAATTAACAGGACGAACTCACTTTACACTTAAGAAATGAAACGAAGGGGTTTCTTCTAATGATTACATTTTTCCCTGTATTTCTTCATTAATGGTCATATCTAACGCATGGGAGGCAGAGCTTCAATAGGCCCATCTTTCAAAGCCCAAGTGTGAGAGGAATGAGTCGAATGATGCTATATCCACAAATAACAGCAGCTGCAGTCCTTCTGCATGATGCTTCTGCATGATAAGCTGTTCCGGCTCAGGATGTGGCCTCCTGAACCACGTCAATAATGTCACAATCTGAATAAATTTAGGCAATTGTCTTAATGAAAACCCATCCCCCACAAGAAAAGGTCTGTCATTCTGCAAAGAAGCCAAGTGCGCTCGACTGGGATCCTAGTGTGGGTCTGTCAGAACATGGTTCATTCAAAGAAACACTCCAGACCTCAATTTGCCTGTTGGTCTAGGAATTAAAATAGTTCTTCATTTTACCAATGACACATTCCAGAGGAGGCAGCAAGCAGAGGAATCAGGCAACAGGGAATTCTGCCACAATCTACGTCTCTACAAACAGACACACACATTCATATTAGGGTAGGCATGTGGATTGTAATCCCTTCTTAGTAGAAAACACATTTTCAAAATGAATCCCCAAGCTAGAGTGAATTACCGTGATAGCCACAGCCGGAGGGAGTCCCACTGTTGAGAAATGCAGATCTGGCCACCTGCTTGAGAAGCCTTGTAGCACAACACTGTTGGGGTCTTTTAAGGGGTGGCCTTTTCAGGTAGGGCACCTACCCTCCTAAATTGTCTTTTAAATTCCAGGAAAAAAGAAGCCACCCCTTATCTTTGAACTATGCTGTTCTTCCTATATCCACTTCTGCTGAATACAGCATAGTTATCTTTTCAAAGAAAGAAGGAAAACAAGGGAGACTCGAACCACTGCAGATCCCAGAAGAAGTAGCCTCAAACCACAGCAACGTCAAAATAATATCTTCAGCAGCTAAGAAAATCCCCGCATGCTATCCGCTGTGAGCTCAATGCAGACTGAGGCTAGCTGTGCCCGGAACCACAGCAAGCTGGGGCATCTCTGCAGCCTGTGTCCCTGCCAGCTCCCCCCACCCCACCCCCATGCGCTGAATTTGGCAGAGAAGTTACCCTGCCAAGCCTCTGTGCACAAGATGAACAGACCACACATCCACACTCCCCAAATTAGTTCGGTGCCTGGGAAATCGAGGCTTCAGGGCTGTCAGAAAGCCCTGGAACGGAGGATGGAGGGCCACTTTGAGCTCTAAGATTTTGCTGCATTGTCATGGCCTGGTAAACTATGGGGAATGTGTCGGATCTCCAGCCAAAAATGGACCGGATGCGGTTTGTCCAGCGCCCCCTGCATACCCTCTACCCCTGCCCCTCTTCCCGCTTGTGTGCAGGTAGCAGTAGGGTGGGTGAAATGACCAGCTGCTCCCGCTGAAACTCAGGTGCCAGGCCCAGCTGAGAGGCACAGCCAGCCAGGGATAGGGAGTCGCCTGGGGAACACCCACACCGCGCATCTTCCCAGCCAGTCACCACCCAGGGGACTGCACCTGGCCACCGGCTTCAGGAGCCCTTGAGTAAGCACAAGAGAGTTCGAGCGGAGACCATGGGATACAATTGTCTAAAAGCCCATCCCAAGCGTTGGTTCATAAGGAGTGGGTGTGGGCTAGGAAGGGGGATTACGTAGGTCTCTCCGCCCCCTCCCCTGGCATCTCCTAGTCACTGGGAGGGCGCCCAGGGGCGGAGGAGGCGCTGCGAACCCATTTGGGGGCTTCTTTGTTTCTCTCCGGGGCCCTCAGGAGGGCCCGGTCAGCCTGCTGTACCCAAGCTTTGGGATGCCATCCCAGCCTGGGCGGCGACCCACCCCAAGCCAACAATTGAACCTCGCGGGAGAAGAGAGAGGGTGGGTAGAAGGGTGGATCCCGGCTGTAGGAGGGAGGGCGCTGCAGGGGCTTCGCCGGGGTGAAGAAGCCGCCCGAGAAAGGGGGAAGGGGAGGCTGGTGGTTTGAGCGTGGTGTCTGCTTACCTTGGCAGCCTCCGACTGGACACAGATCATGCTCCGGTCAGCACGCAGGTTAGAACTGGGGGTCGCACGTGGCTTGCATAGGTGCCAAGCATTGAGGACCTGGTTTGCGAGCCCTGGACGATTAGCGTCTTTCGCCTTGCTCTGACTGCCGGGAATCCAGAGCCAGTTACTGTCAGAGCCACCGCCACGGCTGGAGCAGCTCGCGGCTGGTGAACCTGTGCGAGCCAGGAGGGGGCCTTCTGGGTCAGAGGCGCGTGGTGTTGCGGCTCAAGCAAGGGCTCCCGGTGCGTGGCAACGCAGCACACTTTATTGCTTTATCCTCCCTCCTGCATCCCCTCCCTTCCTGCCTGCTCCTCTGTGGGAACCAGACTTCAGAACCAACCAGGAGCCAGGCTTGTTCTCTGTAGCTGTGCTCCGCCCTGCAGCTTCACGCACCTCCTCCTCGCCCCCATAGTAAATATATATTGATTCTTGTTACCACCGGCCCCATCCTTCCAACACCCAGCACGCGTGTGGGGCTGATCCTGCACCAGCCATGGCTCATCAATCCCTTTGTGCATATGCAAATGGTGTGTTCCGAAAGGATGCAATATAAACCTTCTAGGTAGGAACACCGTGACAGGTGTTCTTGCCTCAATTTTAAGCACGTTTCTTGTCCATCTCACAGACTTATTTCAGAGCGTCCTCCAGTACTTCCATAGCAAGTACCCAAAACAACATTGCTATCCCAAACACAAAGGTTGAAAATCGCCCCGGGTATCTATTGTTGGCAAGCTTAGCTTTCCAAACAGGCTTAGTATTAAACTGTGCACATTATTAACAGGAAAATTGAAAGTAGGAAAAATTCAAACCTCTCTTTGACCAGCCAACCAAGATACAAAAGAAAATGAAATGCTGGTCACTGATTGCCAACTCCTCCACATAAATGAATTCATGTGCATTTGATCTAATTTGGGCTTGCATGTGTTCACATAAAGTATAAAGGTTCTGAGCGCATAATCGCCATAAATCCATGATTCTGTGCTCTTCACAATGCTTATTTATTTCTTCCCATTTTTCTGCCCAGCATCCCCTAGATACCCCATTTTTCACATCCTTAGAAGTAATCTTTTTTCTCTTACCCTGACAAGACCTCTATCTCCAGAACCTTTTGCTGAAGAACTAACTGACTGCACATCTCCAAACCCGTTCATAACAACAAGACGGGTGGCTTCTCAGTGATGCCCTTTGCATTGGCCCACCTCTTGTCACTGATTACACTCTCACAGTAGGAACTTTCCAGAAGAGTAAACCTAGGCCAACTGAAGGCACCCTTACCATTCTCTCCCTTCTCTCTGTTCACTTGAGGTGCTTTGCCCTTTCCCAATAGATACTTCCCTTTGTCTGGCAGGAGTCCGATCCTTCCTGCCAGATGAGTTCAAAGCTGAGTATACATTTTACCAGATTTTATACTTGAATTAATATAGAACTACTGTCTGAAGAAAACCTCCAAGAAGAGACTTGGTTGAGCTGCAACAATAAACACCAGAAACAACCAAACTATAATACCAACCAGAAACTTGGGGGGGGGGGGAGGTAAAAACAACAAAAGTCTCTTGTATGAAGTAGTAGTGAAGGTTTCTAAATGAACACACAATACCAACAAACTGCAGCAAAGGATAATTACCCCCCTCAGTTGCTATGATGTTCAATTTGACTTTCAGTGTTGCAGCATCAATTTGGCTCAAAGAGATTGTCTTTTTCTTGTGTCATGAGGATGACTGGACAAGTCACCATCTCTCTGGGAGTTGTAGAGGCAGCAACCCTGGGGATGCTTCATTCACTTTCCTCTGGACACTTTCTTCTTTTCTAGTTCTTTTTCTACTGAAGGCAAAAGACACCAAAGTTTCACAATTTTGGTAATTTTAGAATTTTTAATTAATTAAAATATAATTATATCATCCACTCCTCTTTCCTCCAACCCCTCTCATTTACACCCCTTCACTTTCTTTAAAATTCGTGAACTCTTATTCTTTAATTATTATTACACACACACACACACACACACACACACACACACACACACACACACATACTTAATAACTTGTTGAGTCTGTTCAGTGTTACATTTAGGGGCTTATTCCTGGAGAGGACTAATTCTCCCTCCCTCGGCAGTTTTTAATTGCCTGTGGCCCTTCATTTAGGGTTGGGGCCCTGCACAACGTTCCCTACCTATGTTAGTATGTCAGCTGGCCCTGTCATTCTTCAGGTCTTATTTAAACAAACACATTGTTGAGATTTCATGTGTGTAGCTTCCTGATCATCTCTGGAAGATACAATCTCACAGCAGGACTTCCTGGTCCTCCCATTCTTACAATCTTTCTGCACCATCTCCCCTGATGTTCCCTGAGCCTTAGATGTAGAGGGTGTGTTATAGATACACCAGCTAAGGCTGGGCATCCCACAGTCAAGTTTTTCTGTACATTTTAACTAGGTGTGACTTCTGTAATGGTCTCTGAAAAGGAAACTTTTTTGATAACTGTTGAGAGCTATACTTATTTGTAGGTATAAGGACAGATATTTAGAATGTAGTTAAGAGTCATTCTGTTTTTTTGTTTTTTTCTTTCTTTCTTTTTCTTTTTTTCTTTTCGAGACAGGGTTTCTCTGTATAGCTTTGTGCCTTTCCTGGAACTCACTCTGTAGCCCAGGCTGGCCTCAAACTCAGAGAGATCCGCCTGGCTCTGCCTCCCGAGTGCTGGGATTAAAGGCGTGTGCCACCACTGCCTGGCTGAAGAGTTATACTGGTTTAGGGATGAGGTCTACCTCTAAGATCTATGACCTCATTAATCATGGGTGGTTGGCTATGATTCCAGTACCAAGCATGATTTCCCTCCCATTGAATAGACTTTAAGTCCAATTAGACAGCTATTGGTTATCACCAAGATGTAAATGCCAGTTTTGCACCTTTGGGATATTTTTCCATACTGATTAGTGTTGCAGTTCGTAGGTACCACAGCTTAACAGGTGGAATACATAATTGAATTTGTGTAAAGTGCTTTCTATATGCTCCATCTGCCAGTGATCTCTGCAGTGCTGAGAAAATCATGACTGGTCAGAGGCTTCATCTTTGGAAGAGACCTTCAATGTGATGTCAGAAGTGCATGCCATATAACTAGGAAGAAGATGGAACTGTTGAAGTGGCACTCATGGTGTAACATCTGACACTTCTGAGAGTTGGGGCTCTTTCTTTAGGATAAATTGTATCTGGTTTACAACATGTTATAGGGCAGGCTAGCATAAGAAGTGACTTAGCAATAACTTGGCTTGGCCTATGCCCACAACCCACTCTGAACAATGTGCCTACCAATCTGTTAGCAACCTAAAAACCCCATCTGTATCTAGCTGCATACACATCTCACGTCAAAGAATAGAATGGGTCTCTCCTTCCTTTAATGACCATCAAGTATAGCCATCTTCTATTCAATCATATTTTATTTTTAGCAGGGTAGGGGGCTGATATACACAATAAAGGCTTCACATACTTAATAAGGCAACCTATGTCCTCTAATAGAACTTTTAGAGAGATCTTCTACTTACCATCTTATGCTTATGCATAATTCACTATATGACTAAAATGAAATATATTATAGGAAGGGAAATGCATAGTGTTCAAAGACTAATGATATCCAAGCTTGTCAATCAAAAGAGAGCCACCCAAACTACGCCCTAAGCAACAAAACTTTTTCCTCACTTGAACTCCAGAAAAGGTAGGTCCAAACAAAAACTGGCCCTGAGTATTCTCATTTAGATGGGCACTGTCACTCTTGATAGTGTAAGCCAATTTGTACTGTCTCTTTACTTTGAATAAAGTTTCCCTGCTACATTGCAGTCTGTGTGAGCCAAGATGCTAAGAACCTGAAAACATTTGATATAGACTGCTATGACTTAAGGCTTAGGACAATAGCTCATAGGCAAGACTGCCCAACTTCAGTTAACAGAGCAAGTTATATATCTGATCCATTGCAATGACAGAATATTTTTAATTTTGAAGAAGGGGTAAACCTGCATATGGATATTGAGTGGCAGTGGCCTTCTTAGAAGCTATAAAAGTCTTAGGGTGGTTTTAGGTCAAAGGCCAATTCTAGGCTGACATTGTATGAAAGAACATAGGAATCTCTCCATATGAGTTTCTTTATTAAACAATTTTTGAAGCGTGATGACTTATCCGAAAAAACTTTGAAGAAGACAGTCTCTTACTTGCTAGAGATTAAGGTTGAGAGCATGAAAACTTCTAATGAAACAAGCAAGCATTGCACATTTGATAGGAATAGTGACAGGTCAAATGTCAAGCTGACAATACATAGAGGTTGTATGTAATCCAGATCCAGATTGGGAGGGGAAAAGGAAGGATGGGAGTTGAGAGTAAACTTCAGTGCCTGAGTTGAGGCTTTAAGGATTAGTAGGAACAGAAAGTGAGGG